TCCCAGCGCATGGGGTGTGCCCCGCATGGGCGCTGCGTCGCCCATGCGGGGCACACCGCCAGCGTGTGCTGGGCCGAGTCCTTACTGCAGTCGCAGTGGTGGCAGGCGGGACTCAGTTCCTTCCTAGCGACCGAGTGCAGGTAGTTTCCGAAGCAACCGTGCCCGGAAAGCACCTGCGTCAGCCGGAAGGAAAGGGTCCCGTGCTGCCGCCCTGCCCACTCGGCTATGACCGGCTGGAGAGCCTCCACGGCGGCGAAGCCAGCGCGTGGAGTCTCCAGCCGGAACGACCATCTGACCATGGTGGCTCGGCGAGCGGCTTCGCGCCACTCGCGCACGTCTTCGGGCGGAGGGCGAAATCCGCTCTCCGCCCGGAAGTCAGCCACTCGCCGATAAACTTCGGCGAGCACCTCCGCCTCCAAATCCCACGGGGGTGTTCCGGCCAAGGCGCAAGCCGCCTCGGTGGACACCGTGCGGTATCCGCGTATGGCTCTGACCGCCAATATCCTCTGGGGGCGCCAGAGGCGCGCCCTATTCGGGGCGGTCAGAGCCGCCACCCACACCGGTGCACCATAAAGCGCCATGGACCGGACAACCCCCGCGTACAGCCGCCTCGTGGGAACACTGGCCCCGCCCAAATTGGGCAAAAGTCGCCCTAGGGCGGAGGCAGTGTCCACCAGCTTCGGACCAAGCTGTCGGAAGTGCTCGTCGAAGAGCCACCTACCGTCTAGGACCAGACCCAGGTACCTCATCTGGGCCCGGACCGGTACGAGGACCGAGCCGACCTCGATTGAGGCGCCGGCGGGTGGACCACGACGGGGCCCATAAAATAATAGGGCCTCCGTCTTATCCAGGGCCACCCGCAAACCCAACGCCTCAATGTGCCCGACCACCAGGGGAACTCCCGTGGCGGCCAGGCGCGCCGCCTCCTGGATGTTAGCCCCCCGGGCCGTGACTAAAGTGTCATCTGCGTAGCAGAGTACACCCAGCCCAGGGGGGGGAAACGCCCTCGTAGGGCCCAGTCGTATCCAATGTTCCATAGGAGTGGTCCTAGGACAGACCCCTGCGGAACACCGCACGACATGGCCCTGCGTCTCAAGACGCCATCTCGGTCCTCGTACATGACGGTTCGCTCCTCAAGATAGTCTGCCACCAGCCGCCTCAGGTACTCCGGCACTCCGTGGTAGCGGAGCGCTTCCCTGATGCAGCTAAATGGCAGACTATTGAAGGCGTTGGCGATGTCCAAAGACACCGCCAACACCACTCCGCCGCAGCTCACGGCCTCCTCGGTCACGGCCCTAAGGCGCATTACGGCATCGATCGTCGAACGCCCCTCTCGGAAACCGAATTGGGAGTCCGACAGATCGGGGCCAACCTCGCAAACTTGAAACAAACCCTTTTTTTTTTTTTTTTTTTTTTTTAACGTGTGGAAATCCCCTCGGACCGTCACCCCTCCGGGGTTTGCGGCGGGGTGGTGTGTCGGACTCGGACCGACTAAAACCACACGGTGTGCCACTCTGCGCCTGTAACAGGAGGGATCCGGGAACAGCTGTTATTAAGACATCCGGACCCCTCCTAGCGCCAGCCCGCTCCTGGTGCGGGCTCCGTCTCAATATTGTTGTTTTCCTCTCTTTAGGCGACGTCCGGCACACGCGGACGCCGCCCCCTCGCGGCTGGCCAAACTAATGCGGGTGGAGGGGAAACCCACCCCGTCCACCCGCGGCCACACTCAGGGCGGCATGAGGCTGTGGTAGGCGGGCCTCCGCCGCCCGGTTCGCCGGCGGCGGATCGGGTCCGAGTGGAGGTCGTCCTCCCGGGCCCTCTCCGCCGCCTCCTTCCGCGAGATTACTACCTCGCAGAAGGTTGCGACCGCGGTAAAACAACTGTCGCTACCGGCCATGGAGCGTACTACGGCCGGTAGCGAGAGATCCACTCCGATGACTGCAGTGAGGGCCCGGCGCTGCGCCGCCCATGCGGGGCAGACCGCCAGCGTGTGCTGGGCCGAGTCCTCACTGCAGTCGCAGTGGTGGCAGGCGGGACTCAGTTCCCTCCTAGCGACCGTGTGCAGGTACCTTCCGAAGCAACCGTGCCCGGAAAGCACCTGCGTCAGTCGGAAGGAAAGGGTCCCGTGCTGCCGCCCTGCCCACTCGGCGATGACCGGCTGGAGAGCCTCCACGGCGGCGAAGCCAGCGCGTGGAGTCTCCAGCCGGAACGACCAACGAGCCATCGTGGCTCGGCGAGCGGCTTCGCGCCACTCGCGCACATCCTCGGGCGGAGGGCGAAATCCGCTCTCCGTCCGGAAGTCCACCCATATTGGGCAAGAGTCGCCCTAGGGCAGACGCAGCGCCGACCAGCTTTGGAGCAAGCTGTCGGAAGTGCTCGTCGAAGAGCCACCTCCCGTCGAGGATCAGGCCCAGATATTTCATCTGGGCCCGAACCGGTACGAGGACCGAGTTGACCACGATTGAGGCGCCAGGGGGTGGACCACGACGGGGCCCATGGAATAACAGGGCCTCCGTCTTATCTAGGGCCACCCGTAAGCCCAGCGCCTCAATGCGCCCGACCACCAGGGAGACTCCCCCTGTGGCCAGGCGCGCCGCCTCTTGGAAGTTTGCCCCCCGGGCTGTCACGAGGGTATCGTCTGCGTAACAGATTACACCCAGCCCGGGGGGGAAATCGGCGCGAAGGGCCCAGTCGTACCCTATGTTCCACAAGAGGGGTCCAAGAACAGACCCCTGTGGAACACCGCACGACATGGGCCGACTCCTCAAATTACCTTCTTGGTCCTCGTACACGACGGTACGCTCCTCTAAGTAGTCTGCCACTAGCCGCCTCAGGTACTTTGGCACCCCATGATAGTGGAGTGCTTCCCTGATGCAGCTGAATGGCAGACTATTGAATGCGTTGGTGATGTCCAGTGACACCGCCAACAGCACGCCGCCACAGCTCACGGCCTCTTCGGTCACGGCCCTCAGGCGCAACACGGCGTCGACCGTCGAACGCCCCGCCCGAAAACCAAATTGGGCGTCCGACAGATCGGGGCCCACCTCGCAGAGGTGCCGGACGATGCGGGCAGAAAGAACCCTCTCAAACAATTTGCCCGCCTCGTCCAGCAGCACGATGGGCCTATAGGCCGCGACCGAATCGGCAGGCCGTCCCGGCTTCCTCAATAGGACCAGTCCCGCTCTTCCAGCACTCAGGGAAGCGTCCCGACGCCAAGCTAGCGTCGAACACCTCCCCGAGGCGGTCTGCCATGTGGTTGAGGGCCAGGGCCAGCACTCGGGCCGGTACCCCGTCTGGCCCAGGGGCGGTGTTCTTGGAACGGATCCGTAGAACAGCCGCCCCTACCTCCGATTCCCGGACGGGCGGAACATTATCCTCCCCGTGCTCCCCGTCGTCTCCGGCCAAGGAGGCCATCGACGGGGGAGTGTGTTCCGCCCGTTGTGGGAAAAGGCCCTCAACCACTTCTCGCAGGAAGCTGGGCTGGAGAGTCTCCGTAAGGGGGGGGCCCGACGCGCGGAGCTTTTGTCGCACCGCGCGGTAAGGGCGACCCCAGGGGTCACGATTAAGACCCTCCAGCATCTCCTGTCTTTTTTCTTCTTTGGCGCGGCTAATGGCCAGCTTCAGAGTTTTCCGCGCCCGTCGGTACTCCTCATGAAGCCGGTCCTCCTCACCGTCTCCACGGTGACGCCGCCGACTGCGCGTGTAGGACCTCCGGGCACGTGTACAGGCCGCACGGAGGTCCGCCAGCTCCTGGGACCACCAGTAGACCTCCTTCCTTGGAGGCCGACGACCTCGAACGCGGGGCATGGCCGCATCGCATACATGCGTAATCGCATCGCGAAAGCGGCCAGCCCCCACGTCGACCTCCTCGGTCGGAGCCTGAGGAGACAGCCACGAGTGAATTATGGCTGCCTCCTCTAGTAGGTCCCGGTTCAGCCTGGCAACAGCCCACCGCGGAAAGCGGGATTAACGCCGCGCCACGTGACCCCTACTGGAGTCCTGGGTCCGGGAGAGCTCAAATCGGATATACAGGTGATCCGAGAGCGTCTCAACCTCTTCCAGGACACACCAGTTCCTTACTCGTGCGGCGAGGGCAGGGGTAGCGAACGAAAGGTCCACTATCGACCCCCCCCTGCTGTCGCACGCACGTGTTGGTGGAGCCTCTGTTTAGAAGACAGAGGCCCACCGAGGCCGCCCACTCCTCTACGGCCTCGCCCCTGGCGTCCGTCCTGGGGGAACCCCACGCAATGGACTTTGCGTTGAAGTCCCCCAGCACAAGGACGTGCCCAGACGCTAGTCGCCGTATCGAGGTCTCCAAGCTGATTAGGAAAACCTCGAAGTCGTTCAAACTCCGGTTGGGGGAGAAATAGACACCATATATGGTGATCCCCCCCCACTCGACGGCAACATATCCAGTGCCCTTGTCTCTTAGCGACAAGGGCGGGGAATAAGCCGTCGTGGAACGCCGACGCTTGCAGGCAATACTTTGGCCGACGCTACGGGACAGCTGACCCACACAGCGCCAAGCCCTCCTGGACCGGGGCGGATGGTGCCGACCCTGACGTTGTCCGCGCTGCACCCCGTCTTCTCCCGGATTACAGCGCGGACATCTTCGGCCGTCACAGAAACAAACCCTATACCAACCCGTCTGGCAAGTGTGGTATAGTAGGCCAAAACCTCCTTTTTAAGGAAAGGCCTATGTCCAGCCGTGGACTATTAAAGGCTTTAAATGATGATGATGAACCCATAGTCATGTATTTAAGCATAACGGTAATGTTAAATACTTCATATAATTGGTGGAAAAACCATTGACAATATTTAAAAAGATAAACACAAAATATGTCACATGTACTGTCAAAAGACTGTCAACTTCCATTACTCGACGGCATGTTTGATACTTGGAAAAAGCGGGTTAAATCAAAGTTATAAAAAAGAATATTCATATTTTTATATCTTCAATTGATAGAATGGAGTAGAAGTAAGACGTTTTAAAAACCGTAATGGATGTACGAGACACGCTCAAATTTCTTACCATGACTATGACGATGACTGCTGGAGTGTTATATTCTTATGGACTTTTCAAGATACCTTGGATTGGATCAAACAAAAACCAAGCCGCTGACATTATTTCGAAGGTTGGAGACAATAGAACCGATGGAGGTACAGCAAAAGTCAGTCAACCCATTCCAGCGCTAAATGTGCTTAGTACTAGTGACGTTACAATTTCAGAAGTTAAAACTTAACTTAAACCATAAGTTTAATTACCAAGACTGCTTCAAACACGGATCGCCTGATAAAGCAGTTGCAAAATATATTTTGCAGTGTCGGGAATTGAATTTTTTGGTTATTAATATAATAATTTTCTTTTTTATTTGCGTTTTCTTCAAAACAGCGCTTGTGGGCAATGTAAAAGACAAGATAACTTATTTTTCATGTTTTACAATTATTTTTTAAATGCGCCAGTTTAATGCATCACTTTGTGTTTGTAAAGTTAGATCAGAAGAGGAACTAGATATTCAGTATGGTATGTAAGGGAATAAGTATTAGTATACTCTGTCATCACATCACTTTTGTAGGGAATACTTTTAACTATTGCCAACTGAACTGGCAAATTCAATTATGAAAGTCTAGACTGAAACTGTTTCATCCAACGATAGTAGTGTATACTACATTTCTTAATTGCACCTAAAAAATTCTTAATGTCACCCACCATGGAGGGGCTTACTTTGTAAATTTCGGTGAAGTAATTTTAGAATGGCAGTGTAAGGGCAACCGACACGGGACCGCTAACCGTTGATTAGCTTGGTATGTATGTATAACGGAATCTTCGAACGTGATTTTGTCACTTACAAACGTCGAATTCAATTAAAACTTTGCATACTTATCAAGGACCGATGACAATGCAATAATTAAAATAGTTTTTCCCACTATCCTGATCGGGACCCTCAGGATTAACGGCTTTTTCCATAACTAAAAATACGGTTGTGTCTTTTGCCAGGTACTAAGGCGTGTGCTTACTTGTTACTTTTTTATTCTTAATATGATGATTGATGAAGATAATAATCATCATCAATGACTAAAAAAGGAAAATTATATTATAGTTCAAAAAACTAAAAAAATACGATTTTGTAGCTAGCCGAACTAAAAAGTAGGAAATAATTTTCTATAAGTACGTTTATCGCATAAAGCAAGGGGTGCTAGATCTCAATTGTTGTAAAAATATTTTACTGAGAGATATTGGAAAAAAAAGTTTTTATATTATAAAATACCTTAAAAAGTAACCCACGCTTTTTTACGATAAAATATTCTTTATAGTTTTTTTAAACTAAAATTTAGTTTACAATGTCAAAATGGCTCTTTATTCAACCTTTTATTCCGTTAAAACAAGACCCATACTAAAAGATATGAAGACGTCATGTCTGTTTTGAAATGTTAATATAATCATCATCATCAGCCTTTAATAGTCCACTGCTGGACATAGGCCTCTCCTTAGAAAGGAGGTTTTGGCCTGTACAGTATCTTTCATCATTTTCCTACTCAATTTTAATGCAGTTGTCGCGTTATTATTGTGTTGTCATATATCATCATCATCATCAACAGCCAGTGCTGACTTAGAAAGGAAGTTTAGACCTACTATACCGCGCTGGCCAGACGGGTTGGTATAGGGTTTGTGTCAAGTTTTCCTTCTCTTTGCAGCGCTCTTGTCCTGCATGGTTTATTCCCTTAGTCGGCTCTTACGACACCCACGGGATGAATAGGGGTGGTGACACTCCGTATTCTTAATCCGTCACCACACGGACGATTAATATAATATCATTTTGATTTTTTTAATTGTTTATTCGTAAGGAATTAAATAATTGTACGTATGATTAATATTTAACGTTCATGAAAACTATAATTGAAGAATACATAGCCATCACAACGTAGCAAATATAAACACTGCTGAAACAAAATACCGTTCTAAACAACAATAAAATTGTTTATTAACTTCATCATCAGCCTATCGCCTATAGTCCACTGCTGGACATAGGCCTCTCCCATTGCACGCCAATTAGATCAGTTAGATTATTAACTTAACATTGTTCAAAGGCACATAAAATAATTTTATATTTGTGTTGTTTTTTTTTCATTATAGAAAAATCAGTCAGGCTCGTTCCATGTCTTTCCTGTGTATGAGTAAAAGTCGCGATTAACCGTTTTTTATTGTTTGTTATAAGGGGCAACAAAAATGTTCAATCTATCAAAATTTTACCTCTCTACCTATTACGGTTCCCTGAATACGAATGGCGACAAACGGACGTACGGAACTGTAGAAGCTATTCATTATTAAGAAAAAAAATTATATACGTGTCGACTCCAGAAGCTTCTTAAAACCTTAGCACACGGAATACGTACCAAGCAGGTACGTACCGCAAGGGACGCGATAACTACTCTCTACAATCTGTACATTGACGTTTTTTTAACAATTATTTTATTCTTACTACGTGAACATTCATTGTTGGAACTTGTTTATTTTCTGGATAGCATTATTAAAACATATATGTATAAGTATATAATACACGGTGTGGGTGGGTGACACGATTTGGCGTTGTTTTTGTATTTAGTGTGCATCTATAGTTTATTTGATCTAGTCTAAACCATCATAATAATTATGTCTCATCATAATTGGTTTTTTATCAGTTTGTCATGAGTAATGTCAATCATCAGTTTACGCCCCCAGTAATGAGATCCAGGTGACGACTGTTTGATAAACTAAATATTGCGGTTGCGGCACAATAATGCGGAAATATGGGGCATAGCATTGAACGGTATAAACATATATAAACACAGCTGAAATATGCTTGCCAGGTATTATACTCTTTTACCTCGCTATATTCTCTGATTCCAACAAAAACATCGTGCGTGATTAATAATTTAGTAATATAATGGTATTAATAGTACGTAATTTAGGCATAGTAGTTGATCTTGATTTGTCTATCATTAATAAAAATATAGCAAACGTAATTCATGCTATCTCCAACTTCAACTTTTGATTAATGGCTTTGTGGTAGTGTAACCACAATTTCGCAAATGTCATGTTTTTGAATTCACGCTGTCTTAATTTAAAATGAAAATAAAATATTCCCAGAACCGTAAGAATTGTAACTGGCATGCCTAACAATTTATTGTCAATGTCATCTAAGTTTAAAAACATATTTTTCAGAGAATAGAAGCATTTGTCTAATAGAAAGGAAGTGTTATTAGAACAAGGCAAACAATTGTAGGTTTTTTAGTCTCATGTTACGAAAAAAAATTATTTAAAATTATATATTTCTGTCTGTATTCGTACATCTTAAATCTTACATCGTCAAATTTGATTTTTTTGTGAATCACTACTGAGTTTTGATTTAAATTTAAACGTTTTTTTTTCAGTTCTTTAAAAAAAAACAAAGTGTAGAATGCTACAATAAAGAAGACTTTTGTATTTTAACCTATATTTATTTAACAGAGGCCGACAGTCGATTACATAACCTATAATAATACAAAAGCCTCTTCTCCTCAATAAATGATCTGTTCAACAGTAATAACAATAGAGAGAGCACGGGGTACAGCTGCCTGTAAGTGGCACGAGAGACAGGCAACGAGAGAGATGGATGCCCGATATTTCCCTCTGTCTCTGTTTAGCTAAGCTGCGATTAGCTACTTATTAACTCCTCATATTCCCCAGGCAACCACAGAGTTCGGCTAGAGAGAGATAGAGGGGACTATCTATTGTCTATCTTTCTCGTTGTCTATATTGACAGATTGGCTCTTGTTCTCTCTAGATTATATCTCTATGGTAAAAACGAAATAATTGTTGTCAGATGTAAGGAATCGTAGAGTTGATGTAGATGGTAGGAAATGTATATCGAGTTTGGTATCGGAAACCAATTACTCATTAACACATAAATTTAATTTGCCGTAACAATCTTGCCTATCTATTATCCATCTTTCTCGTTGTCTATATTGCCAGATTGGCTCTTGTTCTCTCTAGATTATATCTCTATGGTAAAAACGAAATAATTGTTGTCAGATGTAAGGAATCGTGGTTTTGATATCGATGGTAGGCAATGTATATCGAGTTTGGTATCGGAAGCCAATTACTCATTAACACATAAATTTAATTTGCCGTAACAATCTCGCCTATCTATTATCCATCTTTCTCGTTGTCTATATTGCCAGATTGGCTCTTGTTCTCTCTAGATTATATCTCTATGGTAAAAACGAAATAATTGTTGTCAGATGTAAGGAATCGTGGTTTTGATATCGATGGTAGGCAATGTATATCGAGTTTGGTATCGGAAGCCAATTACTCATTAACACATAAATTTAATTTGCCGTAACAATCTCGCCTATCTATTATCCATCTTTCTCGTTGTCTATATTGCCAGATTGGCTCTTGTTCTCTCTAGATTATATCTCTATGGTAAAAACGAAATAATTGTTGTCAGATGTAAGGAATCGTGGTTTTGATATCGATGGTAGGCAATGTATATCGAGTTTGGTATCGGAAGCCAATTACTCATTAACACATAAATTTAATTTGCCGTAACAATCTCGCCTAAGTCTGAGTCTTTTTCTTGCTCAAAGCTTGCAAGCTCAGTCTTGTTTACATTATTTTGTTGTTTTACAATTTCCATTACTACGATTGTAGTTAACTTAACCGACTGAAAAGATTTTTTTTTCTTTTTTCTATTATTAACCATCTATTTCGGCCCAGTTGGTTAAGTTAACTACAATTTTAGTAATAGAAATTATAAATTAATGTATCAACTACACAAAAACAGTAAAAAAAGACATAAAATATAGGATATAAGTTTTTAAAAAAAATAGGCAAAATTTCGGCAATTTTTATGAAAAATTTAAAAGTCCAATATCTAGAAAATGGTTGGGTTTGGGATATGGTATTTCATAGTGAAATCTATCAGAAATGATGGCAACTACAACCCCTAAAAGTATTTAGGTCGACTTACCCAGTAACCCTGTTTTTATATGGTTAATATTGTAATGTAAAGTGTAAACTTATGTTTTATTATAATTTATTTACATCATATTTAGTTATTTAGTTATTAGCATTGACGAAATCGAGATGGCTCTTGGACAGCTGAAAAATGGAAAAGCCCCTGGAGAGGATGGCGTTACAACAGAGCTGCTGAAGGCCGGGGGTAAACCCGTACTAAGGGAGCTCCAAAAGCTCTTCAACGCTGTCCTGTTTGAAGGGAGAACTCCAGAAGCGTGGAGTAGGAGTGTGGTCGTCTTGTTCTTCAAAAAGGGTGACAAGACCAGGTTGAAGAACTATCGACCCATATCCCTTCTAAGCCACGTCTACAAGCTGTTTTCGAGAGTCATCACGAACCGTCTTGCGCGAAGACTCGACGAATTCCAACCACCGGAGCAAGCTGGGTTTCGGAGCGGATATGGCACCATAGACCACATCCACACAGTGCGGCAGATTATACAGAAGACCGAAGAATATAATCAGCCCCTGTGTCTAGCATTCGTGGACTATGAGAAAGCCTTTGACTCGATCGAGATCTGGTCTGTTCTGGAGTCCCTGCAGCGTTGCCAAGTAGATTGGCGATACATCAAAGTGATGAGATGTCTCTACGAAGCCGCCACCATGTCCGTCCAAGTACAGAATCAGCAAACAAGGCCCGTACCATTGCATCGAGGAGTGAGACAAGGGGACGTTATTTCCCCGAAATTGTTCACAAATGCAATGGAGGACATGTTCAAGACGCTGCACTGGAAAGGGCGTGGCATCAATATCAATGGCGAATACATCTCTCACTTGCGATTTGCAGATGACATCGTCATCATGGCAGAGACGTTGCAGGACCTACAGCAAATGCTGAATGACTTAGCTGACACTTCTGTACGCATCGGCCTACGGATGAACTTGGATAAAACCAAGGTCATGTTCAACGAACATGTACTACCGGAACCGATTGCGGTACACGGTGCCGTTCTCGAAGTTGTTCAAAATTATGTGTACCTCGGGCAGACATTGCAGTTAGGTAGAAACAACTTCGAGGACGAGGTGAACAGAAGAATTCGGTTGGGTTGGGCAGCGTTTGGGAAGCTTCGTCGAGTCTTCTCATCGTCGATCCCACAGTGCCTTAAGACGAAAGTCTTTAATGAGTGCGTCCTACCCGTCATGACATACGGAGCTGAAACGTGGACACTTACGGTACGGCTGGTCCACAAGTTCAAAGTCGCTCAACGTGCTATGGAAAGGGCTATGCTCGGCGTTTCTCTAAGGGATCGCATCAGAAATGAGGTGATCCGGCAGAGAACTAAGGTCACCGACATAGCGTACCGGATCAGCAAGTTGAAGTGGCAGTGGGCTGGCCATATTAGCCGCAGAACCGATAACCGTTGGGGAAAACGAGTTCTTGAGTGGAGACCGCGTCTCGGCAAACGTAGTGTAGGACGCCCACAGGCCAGGTGGAGTGACGATTTGCGCAAGATGGCTGGCAGGAGCTGGATGCGAGAAGCCCAAAATCGATCTAAGTGGCGTGCAATGGGAGAGGCCTATGTCCAGCAGTGGACTGCGATAGGCTGATGATGATATTTAGTTATTTTGTTTATATTTATATTTCTGTAAATATAAAGGTGTAATTTCTGATGTAATTCTTTTTGTGCATATATCCTCTCTTCACTAATAGGTTTGCCGGTAGAGAACTCAACTATGGGTTAAGATCGCCTTTGTGCACACTATTTCTTAATGCATTTTTTCCGTAAATGTTTATATTGTGTACATAAGAATAAAATAAAATGAATAAATAAACATAGAAAAACAATTTTCTTCTTAGTCAAATGTAAGAACTTCTTGAACTTTTAACATTGTTCTAGAAATTTAGTAAAAATGACAATATTTGCTGTCAATAATTTCACTGTCACATAAATCAATTATTAAAGCAATACGAGTACATCTATATAATAGTTTTATAAAAATTGATATATGTCCAATTATTAAAGCCATTTAAAAATGTAATAAAAATAATACGAATTTATATTTGGTTATGGTCCGAAGGAGAATTATAGCTGACGTTTTGGTGTTTACAGTGTCCTTCTATACATCTTATTATGTATCGAGGTATCTCATTGACAGATATCGGGCAGGTCGTTTTACAAACAATAAATAACTGAGAAAATATTAGAGCAGACAGATTTTATTATTTTATCCAAATGTAAGTTTACTGTGCACGTTTTCATAATTATTTAAGTAATGAACAACAGCATGGTACGAAGATTTGAAGTAGCTAAAGAAGTGCAGGTTAAGAGTCGTATGTGCAACACTAGACTAGACTCGAAAGTGACATTGCTCAATTGAAGTAATAAAGCTTTTTTAAATTTCACACATGATGTTAAACCACCGACCTGCACTAACCACAGGAGGGCCTCGTCGTTGTGTTAGTGTTTAGAGTTATTATAGCCATAATCATCAACAAATAAAACAGGCCGAGTAAGTTAAGACAAGTTATTTGTTTCAAAATTACTCACAAACAAATACTTCAAAATGAAATGATGGTTTTTTTTTTAAAGTGTTACTGAATGTTATCCAGTTCTACATGGTTCTACATACTTCTATATTGTTCATCGATTACTAGTATAGATATCGTTTTTTTTCTCTGTGCGTGTCGTGCTTGAGTGGACCTTACTGAAGGCAATCGACAGCATTTTCTCCTCCGAGAATGCATACTATGTGTTTAACTAATTTCTGTATATTAAAGGTGTAGGTTGGTAAGGTATATCAATATCAATTTCAAACATATTGCATCAGATGTGTAATCTATTTTTTGCAGTTAAAAAGTGTTTAAAGTAAACATAACATACCCTTTTTCGTCTCTTCCTCACAGGATACGTGTTCAAAGGCTGAGGTGGTGGTATATGATAGAAGTAAGGCGGCGTGTATAAAACATCCTCCACACCGGATGCTATGGGCGTCCCGCGTGAAGGCACCATGGAACGCACTGTCCCATACAAACTCCTGTTACGCCTTTGATTGCCATACATATTGATCATCACAACAAATTCACATTGGCTTCTACCGTTTGTTATTTTGCACGTACACGTAAAAAAAAAAGATATTTAAAAAGCGCTCCAAACTGACAAATAAAAAATCAATTAATCTGTATTATGTTAGAACCTATTTTTTTTCAATAAAAAATAAGCTACCACATGGCTGGTTTAATTTTGGAAGATAAGGCACGAAGTGTTCTAAATGATAAATATTTTTCATAATATTTTAATCATTAGAATTTCGTTTTTACTTGAAAATAGATGGAGCGCGCGGGTGTTCCGTATCGCTGTTATACTGTGAAATGCGTGGTTGTTCGAGGAATGCCAAGCTAAAGCATGTACACTTTTAATTATGATAGTTTATCAGTTTTTTTTTCTATAGCATACACGGAGCGTGCAGACTCTCGAGATCAACGTATCGACATATTAATGTTTGAATGTGAATAAAAACCGCACGCACGCAGATTCGCGCACCGATACACATCATTGGGTTTAAAAAGTTGTCATTATATTGTTAATACTTATTAATTACTATGATTATCGAAGTTTGTATGCGTGTATGTTTGGCTTATTAAATGGTGTATGTATGTTAAATGGTATTATGTATAATATGTATGTATTTACAAAAAAAAAGTATATATATGTATTTATATCTGTTGTCTAGTATCCATAGTACAAGCTCAGCTTAGTTTGGGACTAGATGGCGTTGTGTGAATGTCGTACAATTTAAAAAAAAAAAAAAAAAATGGTACCTATAACTTGTGTGAGATTATTTGTGATTTGTACTTTACAGTAAAACTAGGGGTTAGGATGTGAGTGCACCAGGGACTTTCTTTCTAGGGTATACCTTTTTCCCCGGCTATTAGTAACCGAGACGGCGTGCGGTTTTAGTCGGTTCGAGTCCGACATGCCACCGATAGGTGGTATCCGAGGGGATTACAGCACGGAAGAAAAAAGTGGTTAGGATGTGAAAAAAAAGAGTCTTATTAGGGGCCTTAGATTCAGGAATGTGGTTCCGAGAGTTGCCCGAAATCCTAATTTCTCAAAATTATCTTACTTAAATGTAATGCTATTTGAAAAAATCATTAATAAAATAAAAAATAAAATATCATAAGTGAAATACATCTTCAATGACTACAGTATCTTTGAAACTTATTTATTTATCCTAAGGTTGCCTGGAAGACATTGCACCTGGGGCAATAAGACCGCCCTTTGTACATTACGTATATGACAATGGTATGTATAATACGAGTCTTGTAAAAAGTGGTGTACAAATAAAGAATTTTCTATCTATCTAAATTATAGGCTGTTTGTATTCTAGTGCAGACTGGTTTGCTGTCGTACGTACCATGTCCCTTAGTTAGTTAAAATACCTACTATACAAGAAACAGTGGAGCTAGAGATAAGAACAAGTAAAATAGCTATATGTCCCGGTCTTCGTCTATGTTAAATTACTAAAATTAAATCAAATATGAAGATTATTTTGATATAAATGTTGTGGTAAATTGTAAAGTATCAGGATGAGGCTGGTAAAGGATACACTACTTTTTGGTAGTCGGTTCCATAGATAGATAGAGAAGCCATATGAGACTACTATTATAGTATATCTATGGTCACTAGTGAATATTATTAGTATAACTTTTTATATCTTAAAAGAAGAAGAAGAACTTTTTATATCAGAAGGATATATATTACAAACCACTAGCAGTAAATAGATCAAAAGATTAAATGTTAATAGACATTACTTCAAGTGTCTTTGTATTTTTACCGAGCCACTATATTAATACAAATAAAAAATCCTAATTTACATCTGGTCAACAATTTTTTTTTTTCATTTGGCTTTGTCACTTCCCAATCCAAGACAGCATACACCATCTAGCGACAAAAGGTAGAACTAAGCATCAGAGTTTAAAAGGTTCGTTTGAAAGCAGCGCCACACCACTTTCCAACAGATTCAATGTCGAACAACTAGATGCCGCGACATGTCATAGTAGTCTTGAATTTGTCAAGAAACTTCAAAACACCAAATTCCAAAAATGGCGGACCAACGGGAAAGAAAACCATAATAATTTTACAATGTAAGTAACTCAGCGCTTTCACGATCCACCAACCAATAGATTTACAACAAAATGGCTGTAAGAAACCTAGCTAAGGTATTTTTCGCTTTGATCTTCGATAAGGCACATTGTGCCGCTTTTGTCGGTCGCGACAACGGATTCGGCAACAACTACGTTTGGGCAGCTTCGCTAGAATCTGGTCTCCAGATAGCCACTAACCACAAGAAACCGCTGATGGTAATCATTCACAAGTCGTGGTGCCACGCCTGCAAAAACTTAAAGACGAAATTCGCCAATTCACCAGAAATACAGACACTGAGCAAACATTTCGTGATGGTTAACTTACTGGATGAAGAGGAACCACAGAACGGTATTTTTGCACCGGATGGATCATATATACCCAGGTAATTAATACTTAATTCTTTAAAAAAATAGATGAAAATCAAATAGACAACCGTGTTTTCTTGTTACGGACGTTTAATACTTATTTTACTAGCGAAGAATTCAATGGCAAGATAATGTTCAAGTCTTAGTCTCATGCTCCGGGCTTCTTCGAAATCAGTCTCAGTCGGGTTTCCCCATCCGAGTTTTGCGATATCCCTTACCCTAGGAAGCCTCGCTCTATCTGTATTCCTTACCTTAACTTACTTCTACCTTTCTCCCGTCTGAAAACGATTACATCCCCAAAGAAAGTTGGCATCACATATACGGCAGGGTATTAAAGAATCTAGCCAAAATCCCATGAAATGTTACACATTGCGCTATAATAGAAACTAGCCAAAACCCTTTAGTAATCTTGCACATCCGACCACAAGCAAAATTGAAAAGAGATAAAGAATAATAACCTGACACATCTCACACATGGTCGTCTTATCCCAAACTAGGCAGAGCCTGTACTATGGTAACCAGACTCCTGATGAACTTAAGTATATATTTCTAAATACATACATATTATAGACAAATCATTTAATAATTATTATTGATTAATGTACCTACATGTTCATAGAATTTAGACAGAAATGAAAATTTTCTTTCATTTCAGGATCCTCTTTATATCACCCAAAGGATTAGTAGATCCTGAAATCTTCAACGAAGAAGGGAGCAGTCAACACAAGTATTTTTACAGCAAACCTGAACAGATCGCCAAGTCTATGAAGAGAGTCCTTGAGAAATACGAGCTCCATACGTTTGATGTGTGAAGAAAACTTATTCTTTATTTCTATGAATTGCGCAATTCGAGAAAAGGAAATACTGTCTTTTTAGGATTAAAAAAGAAATATTTTGCTTACAGAATGGATCCTTAACATATAACTTTTATCTCAAACCAAAATTTTATGATAAATTTATTGGTTCTGGATGTGAACTTTGGTACACGGCGATACTGATCGGGACAATAAAGTAACTGTAACTAATATCTCTTTTATTTCTAACCCTAATGACCTGACGGAACTTTTGTCACGCCAGACTCCTTCTCCACCTTCAGCAAGAGTTTAGTGCAACTCATACACATATAACTGAAATGCGAAACGATGTATATCACATCACATCACATCAACAACCTTTAATAGTCCACTGTTGGACATAGGCCTCTCCTCAGAAAGGAGGTTTTGGCCTACTATACCACGCTGGCCAGACGGGTTGGTATAGGGTTTGTGTCAAGTTTTCCTTCTCTCTGCAATGCTGTTGTCCTGCGTAGTTTGGTCCCTTGTCGCCTCTTACGAAACCCACAGGATGAATAGGGGTGGTGACACTCTGTTTTCTTAATAAGTCACCACACGGATCACGATGTATGTGGTGATAGAATTTAGACAGAAATGAAGAAAGAACAAGACAAGACATTTTACACAGGCTCTGCCTAGTTTGGGATAGACTGGGTATGTGAGATGTGTAAAGTTATTATCATTCTTCATTTGAGTTTATATTTATTACTGATTAGCTTAAAGCTTGTTGCAGTGAGTTCGTTTTTCTTTAAATTTAATAAAGACAATATGATTTCATAAACCTACCCAGTCATTTTCATTCAAACGAAACCAAACGAAAGTCGAAACCATTTAGAACATTACTGACTACCTTGTAACTTCGTTGTGGATAACTCTAAAAGCCTTGGATTGTCAGTTCCCTCTGTGTATTCCAACTTGTTTATACCTAATTACGTTCCTTTCAATCAACCAAAATTTGTACAACTATTGTAAGTCAAAACTCTTTCATATTGTCACTGAATCACTTACTGGTCATCAAAATTTTAACGTGCTTTAGCATATTCAAAACATTTCAAAATTTAAACAAATTTATATTATAGAGATATCAAAAACTCAAACACGCCTCGTCTTATTTCATGAATATAAAACGCATAAGTAATGTTGTAATCCTATGTTATTGATTACGAATAATAATATTAAATTATTATTCGTAGGTTTACAAAGCTTTATTCTCATTCTTGCAATTCATACAATGTTTACCCCGCACTATAGGAATATATCCTGTTCGCGAGGGACTTTTAACAAACATTCATGAAACGGAGACCAAGAACACTCAGAACAACAATCTGTGGATCACGCAAACTGTTGTCCCATGTGTCCACAACACTCAGCGCAGTAGTGAGCGGCGTGGTGACCGCTTTTAAAGTATGTACAAAAAAAAAGTATATGTGAGTGAGTGACAGATGAACTCCGTTCTTTTAATTGACTGCACGGATGGCGGAGTGGTTTAAGCGGTCGCCACGCCGCTTCCTACTACGCCGAGTGTTGTGGGTTCAAACCCCACATGGGACGTCACTTTGTGTGATCCACAAATTGTTGTTCTGAGTCTGGGTGTTCTTTGTGTCCGTTTCATGTATGTTTGTAAAGTCCCCCGCGACACAGGATATATATTCCTAATGCGGGAGTTGTCTTTTTTAAAAAAAAATCAAAATGTGTAATGTACCATAAAAACCAGTGGATCGAATTGTAACCTAATAATTTAACCAACACGATTTAATATTGACCATATTAATTCGACATCTTGATTATTTAAGTAAATAGAAGAAACGTAATGAATTTGATACTTGCTGTGGGTTATTTAAAAAATAATGCTTTTAGGTATAAGGGGCGAATGAGTAGACAGGTCACTTTATGGTAAGTGGTTATCTCTATCCATAGATACCTTCAAAGACATAATTTCGTTGCAGCCTTTTAAGTACTCTCCTCTCAGAATTAGGCAGATCTGCAGTCTTCTTTTAGAAAATAATTTCTGCAATCTTGCATATCAATACAATCATTCGGTAACAGCATAATGTTTGACAAACATATTTCATTTGTTTATCGCAATTGAGTTCAGAGACGAAATGCGAATGTAACTCCGAAAAAAAATTGTAATGTACTTACATCCTCGACGACAGGCTCGACGTACATTTCCACGGTATTGTTGAGAGGGGGCAGCGGCATCGGAAGGGGAGATGCCGCTGCTGAAGACCTTCGTGAGATGCTGTTGCAGGAACATTGTGACACGGAGCGGCGGGACCGGGGAGATTCTCTGTAGACAAATTGTATCATGTTTACTCATACTAATGTTATAAAGGAGAATGTTTTTGAGTGTGTGTGTTTGTATGTTTATTGCTTCTTCACGTTCAAACGGCTGGACTAATTTTGATAACATTTGGTATGGAGGTAGCTGACACCCTAGATTATTACAAAGGCTAAGGCTACTTTCTTATTCCGAAAAAAAATAGTTTTCACAACAAAATTTAGTGGAATAAGCAAGGAACTGAGATACTGATAAACCGCTGTAACACCGCGGCTAGTCTCAATATAGTTTACAACAGCAATCAACTGTTATATTAAAAAATACCACCGTGATGATGGTATTTTTTACGCCTCAGTAACAATTTTGATGCTATATCTGAAAATCAACATCCCGTCTAACGATGTCATCATTTATCATCTAGGGTTCTTACATGCTGGCTCTCTGAGCAATTTAAATCTGACCACGAAGTCAATCGTAACACAGTTCTTGAACATGCTTGAAAGCGATGTTTCAAAGCTTTGGGGTTTTAATTACTTGTACTTTACAAATATTTAGGTAAAATATTAGCGGTATTATCACCATTAAAAGTTATGGTTTTCATTATACACGGCGTTTCAAATTGTTTTAGCAGTCTAATCAGAGTGCACGGATGGCGTAGTGGTGTAAGCGATCACCTCGCGTTGTGGGTTCGATCCCCACATGGGACAACACTTTATGTGATCCACAAATTGTTGTTCTGAGTCTGGGTGTCCATTGTGTTCGTTTCATGTATGTTTGTGAAGTCCCCCGCGTCACAGAATTTGTTCCTAGTGCGGGAGTTGTTAAAAAAACAACGATTGGACTTACTAAAATAAAAACTATTATTAATCAAAGGCTGGTGATGATGACGATGGTAATGAATCAAATATGTCTCTGTCTACCCCTTCGGGGATAAATAGGTACGTGAGTGTATGTCTTTATATAAGTACATACCAGACTCCGGCGTTGCTGTTTTTTTGTGTGATTTATAGATGTAACATAAAAAGTGTACTGACCCCTCATTACCCCCGTGGCTAAGTGGTAACCAAGTAGTTTAACACATTGCAAAGTTAAGCAATCCTATCTAGGTCAGTCTATGGATGGGTGACCATTTCTTATTACATTGAGATCCCTGCGTGCCTCGGCCGGTTGCGTTATAGGTGGTCGGAGCCCTAAAAAGTCCGACAACAGTCTTTCTACAGAACTTCGATATCGCCTACTTGGGTGGTGGGTTTGATGGCAGCCGTTCCGCATAAAAAATCGATGTTTAGCCGTATCGTAGTAGAATTAAAGCCAACCCTAACATAGTTTATGAAAAAAGCTCAGATTAAGAACATTAAAAGTGTAGTCAAGTTACCGAAAGTCAAGTAAGTTATCGAATCGATTGTACACCAACTTATAATAGACAAAATAATTTACCCAAATTGAATTACTTCCTACGTAGGATGTGTGGGAATGAGGTTAGAGCGACGAGCTGTTTGTAATCAATAACGTTTAATTAATGATGAGACTGTAATTATTGGCATGTAGGTATGATATTTGTATAATAAATAATAATATATTGATTGACGTTCCTGTTCTCACTAGTGATGGGCCGGGTCCAATCTCGAAACGACAGTTGACGATTTTAAAGTTTCGCATTGCATTGCGTTGTGTAGACAAAATGGCAAAAACGGAATCCTTATAATTTCGTCATGTCGTGTCCATCCGTTCGTCTGTCAACATATCTCAAAGAATATTAGTGTTAGAAACCTGTAATTTCGCATGAACATACATATTAATCACGCCAACAAACTGGTAAAATAAAACCATGAAAAACATTTTTTTAGGGTACCTCTAGTACCTTTAAAGTGGGGATGTTATTTTTTATATTCGTTCATCCCATGCGATGGGATGTCATTGGATATGTTTTTTGAAAAATAATAAGGGTTTGTGAAGACAATATTTTGATTAAGGTTCTGTTTAAAAGATGTTAAGCCTTAAAGCGGTGATTTTTGTTGCAGTCAAATATTTAAGTCAATATTTGGGGATCTGATGAAATTCACGGTAGTAGCATAAATAACGAATTTCAAAGAAAAGCTATCACAGCTCAGTAGGCTTTATTAGTTATTAGTTTACGAGTAATAGTCGGCCAACTAATTCTACATTACAGGCCGCCGAAACCGTTAATGTGAAATGTTTATTGAAACGTAACTAGATGTCACGGTTTAGTTTTTTACATCTCGTGGCCCCTTTTTAGAATATCGCTGTTAAACAGTGAAATTATAAGGCCCTCTTTTAACTCCGCATCATGTGGTAACAAGCAACTACCGAACCCCACATTGCGCGTGGCCCGACACGCACTTCGCCGGTTTTTTTTAATAAGTAAATATTTTAAAACAAATATTGACTGCACGGATGGCATAGTGGTTGAAGCGGTCACCTCGCGGTTTCCTACTGCGCTACGTGCTGTGGGTTCGATCCCTGCATGGAACAACACTTTGTGTGTCCACATATTGTTGTTCTAAGTCTAGATGTTCTTTGTGTCCTTTGTATGTTTGTAAAGTCAATCATTTTTGTTTGTCAATCGGTTTTGCCTCCTGGCTATAAAATTGGTTCTATTTTCTGTCGGAAAACCCGCGAACATGGAGGAGTTTGTATTATTACTAGAAATTCGTTGTATTCTATTGAGATGTTGGATATTGTGCATTGTTCAAGGGAATTTGTAATAGAATTTAGTGCGATAGAAATACCCCGAATTAATTGTATCTTCATAGGACTTTATAGAGCGGATCGCCATATTGATATATTTTACCAACAATTGGACAAGGTTTTACATAAATTAAATACTAAACATTCACATAAACACATAGTAATAGGTGGCGACTTCAACATTAACGTACATAGCAAAACTAAACAATTCTTGGATTTTTTAAACTTTATGAAATCGTATAACCTCCAACAAATAATCCGCGAGGCAACACGAGTAACTAAAACAACATCCACTTGCATAGACCTGCTCTTTACAAACTACCCGCCTCTCATAAACAAACCAGCTGTTTGTGATTATGGACTGTCAGATCATAAAGCGATAACTCTTCAACTAAACCTAGACTATCTCATAAAAAACAATCATAAAACGTGGTCAACGGAGAAAAGAATATTTTCAAAAAATAAGATGGAATGTTTTAGAAACTCGTTAAAAACAACAAATTGGGAAAGTATACTAAACAACAACAATAGTGTACAAAAAAAATATGAATCCTTCATGACATTCATAGAACAAAATCTCAATAAACATATCCCGGTACAAAAAATAAAAATAAAAAGCAAACCTAAAAAAGGGTGGCTGACTACAGGTCTCAAAAATTCATGCAAGCATAAAAGGGTGTTAAGAACCATCTTTAATGAAACTAAAAGTGATGTAATAAAAAAACACTACAAATCATTTAGTAAAATATTAAAATACACTATTAGAAAATCAAAAAAATTTGAATTTATTAGGCAAATGAAAAATTCTGAAAATAAGGTCAAAACAATGTGGAATATAATTAACACAAAAACCGGTAAAACGAAAATAGACAGACTTAAAAATATATCATTAAATGTTAACAATGAAGAAGTCAAATGTCCTTCAGATATAGCCAACATATTTAACGAATTCTTTGCAACGGTAGGGCACAACCAAACAACCAGCTCTAACATCGCCCCTGGACAACCAGTGGTTAACCCCTCCACATGTTCAATGTACGTGCGCCCTGTAAATCAAAAAGAAATAATCGATATCATTCGATCAACTAGAAATAAGCATAGTTGTGGTATCGACGATATTCCACCAATCTTATTAAAACAATGTGCAATGGAACTTTCAACCCCTCTGACATTACTAGTAAATCAAAGTTTTGAAGACGGTCAATTTCCAGACGCACTAAAAGTCGCTTTAGTCAAACCAATACATAAGAAAGACGATACAAACACTCCTACAAATTATAGGCCAATAGCCCTTTTACCAACGTTTTCAAAGGTATTCGAAAAAGCTATGTGTAACCAGCTATATGCGTTCCTAGAAAAGTTTAATATTCTTGACGATTCACAAAATGGATTTAGAAAATGTAGATCAACAACGTTAGCCGTGTACAAATATATTCAAAGAGCGTTACAACACATAAATGACAAACAACACGTAGTAGGAATGTTGCTGGACATGACAAAGGCGTATGACAGGGTCCTGTACGACATTTTACTCAACAAATTATATGGCTGTGGAGTACGGGGACCCGCTTATTCATGGTTTAAATCATACTTAGAAAATAGGACACAAATAGTACAAATTAATCATTACAACCATGACAAAAATGAAATAAAATCCTTCAGATCTCGAGAACTCCAAATAACTTCCTCAATACCCCAAGGAAGTGTATTGGTTGTATTGTATGTATTGTATTTTATAAATGATTTGCCAAAAACATTAGACAAAGAAAAAACTCTGCCGGTACTTTTTGCGGACGACATTTCGATACTATTAAAATGCGAAAGTGAAAATAACCCAAATCTTCTTTTACAAAACACTCTTCAAACAATAGATAACTGGCTTAAGGATCACAACTTAGAAATAAATTCAACTAAAACAAAAATAATACAATTCAGATCTTATAAAAAATCTCCTTTAAAATTGAACATAATGTACAGAAACACACGTTTAGAAGAAGTTGAGACATTTACATTACTTGGGATGAAAATAGACACACATATGAATTGGAAATCACACATCGAGCACATTAAATCAAAACTTTCTAGATTTTCTTACGCCCTTCTTCAAATTAAACGATCTACTAACACACAGACAGCTTTGTCTGCTTACTACGCGTATGCATACTCGTGGCTCCGATATGGCATCATGCTATGGGGAAATAGCGTTAACAGCGGTGAACTATTCATAATGCAAAAGAAATGTATAAGAATCCTAGCCCAAATTAATAACACGGAGAGTTGTAAACCATTTTTTAAAAAATTTCAACTTTTAACTCTGCCCTCGATATATATACTCGACATATGCGTATTTGTGTTCAAAAATATTGATGCCTTTACAAAAGTAAAAGACACCCACACCATAAACACCCGGCACAAAAATAGGCTTTACCTTCCTCCGTCAAGAATAAAAATGTTGAACGAAAGCCCATACTATATGGCAGTTAAAATATTTAACAAGCTACCAGACGTTATTAAAAACGAAAGAAAACCACTACTTTTCCAAAAAAAAATTAAACTTTATCTCACACAAAAATGTTTCTACTCAGTCAAAGAATATTTGGAACCTACCTCAACATAACATTTACATAATTGCGATCCGCCCTATGCAAATATTTACTATTTTTTTTATCACTTAATTTCAATTTTAATATACAATATAATATAATTACTTTAATTCATAATAATATTCAAAGCTGACATGATTTTATTGACAAATCTTTATTTATTGTCTCACTTATTCTATAAATTCGTGCATATGGTATAGAAGAACTTTTAATAATAAAATTGACCTAGTATGGACTGTGAGCTGCTAGTGCAGCACTTTATGACACCTTTTGCACACCATTGTCATGGTAGAATGTACTGAACCAGTATTGTAATTATTGACATCTGTTGTATGTACTACATTCTGCAAATAAATGAATTTGAATTTGAATTTGAATTGAATTTGAAAGACGAAGTCGGGCGTAGTCTTTCAAAAAAAAAAAACAGAGATTTAAGGTTTGTGTTATATAAATAGCCAAACAGACTCACACGACAACTAGTAACTCATTTTATGATATACATAAATAAATCCTTTTTTGTAAAATAAATTAAAAATTCTCTAAAAGTAATTAAAGATAAAAATGTTAGATTTGCGTAAGATTCGCCAAAAATAACGACTTCGGATGAAGGTATTTAATCTCCTAAGATACGAGTATCCGGCTCATTACTAGTTTGTACATAATAACCAGACTGCAGATAAACTTATATGTTGGCAAATACATATTATATATTAATCACACTAAGACATAACTAATCACGCAGTTATTTTCTTAGATGGGATTACTAACCACTGCCGGCAGGGTAGCGAATATTATCTACCGCAGATTACACGTGTCTATATATATAATAGGTCTAATGCTGTGTTCTTTTCTCGCTTTCTCCTGTCGGACCCACAACACTCAGCGTAGTAGTAAGCGACGTGGCAAATGCTTAAACATTTACGCCATCCGTGCAGTCGCGCATGGATGCATGTAGCCGAAGAGTCACGAGTCCGTTGCCATTGCGCTTTCCAGGGACAGTTCTGAGACAAATTTTAAAAACTTCCATATAATTACCTTCTGCTTCTCCGACACACGTGATGCGACGTCCGCTCACATCTGCACCTGACCGGCACGAAGTAGCCCAGCTGCGGTAGAGGAGATGGCTCCATGGAGTCACTGGAGTCGCTCCACTCCGGCTGGCTGAACGGGCCCATGTCGAGGACCGATGGCATTGTGCCTCAAGGGTATTTCCTTTTTTAGGTTGTGTTAAAACCTGTTTTGAATGTTTTTGTTTTAAGTCAAAATTTGAAGTTGGAGTTTTTTTTCGTATGGATGTAGTTCTTCGTTTGTATTCTTCTATATATCTATCTTATGGAATTCAGTAGTTTTTTATCTTCATTGTGTTCTTTGAATTTCAATAAAACTGCTAAAAAACACAGCAGCTTTTAGTCCAAAATATGTTTTATTTAATTATTTAATGTGTTTCTTATTTTCACTTTAAGTTTTTAAATTAACATTTTGAGAATTCTATTCTAAATTAAGTTGAAGTCTTTGTTTCTAACCACAATATCAGCGTTTTACTATATGGAATAAATCCTTACACGATTCCTTAACCAATAAAAAATTGCTTTTAAAGTTCTTGTCTGTCTGTTTGTTCAGGGTTATATCCGCAACTGCTGAACAGATTTAATGTGAGTTTAACAAGCACTAGCACTAGATACCTGTTGTCATACTTACTACTTTTATTTAAATAAGAGCAATAGTAGTTTGCTGAGAAAAATCACAGTTAAAATTAATTTTATTTAAGTTCACCAAGATTTTTAAACATTTTTTATTCAAAAAGTATTCTTATTGTCTTCTAACGTATCATTGAAGTTAGATTATGAACAAAAGCACAATAAAAATGTTCAAACATTTTGAAAAAATAAGTTTTTTTTGTTGAAGAGTCTAAACTTGTTTAACTTTACTTCTATTTGTTAATTTTAACACTATTTCAAAGTATCAAATGTCACGACCACAAATTAAATTAGAATCAGCACTTGCATAAACGTTTTTACAAAGGCTGTCTCGAGGTGCACACGTCCAGGTATCACACTACTTGTAGACGCTATAACCTGATTTAAGACATGATCACAAACACAATTATTGTAGATAAGGCCACGGGTGCGTACGCCAGCAATTATAAACTAAATGATTATAAACGATAAGATAAAATCCAACAAATGTTTTTAGGTTAGGACGTATCGCGAACAATTTAGGACGGGCCAAGCCTTGTATTTATCAATTTCTGTAATGTAAACAGAGTGCTTATGTATGGCAGGCTAATTCTAATTATTAATTAAATTCAGTGACATTTTCATCCTTTGAAACATATATAATATTGTACTAAGACTTATCGTATATAGTAAACGTCAATCGCGTCATAATATGTACATATATTAATCACTAGTTGCGCCCGGTGAGATATCGTGTACATTACATGTTTAAGGGTTTTGGTGTGGAGCCCTTTTTTATTAGTTTGCATTTATTTAAAGCCGTGAGTTCTTTTAGACAAAACATCTATACAACATCTCCTGTTCATCCAATACATCTCCTGTTAGACAAAACATCTATACAAATAAATAAAATTGGAGTGTCTGTTTGTAATATTAAAATAACCGCTTTTTACTAAATGCATATGTATGTTTACACGGTACATATGCCAAAATATCATTTTTTACAATTTTTGTCTGTCTGTTTGTTCCGGGTAATCTCTGTAACGGCTGGACCGATTTCTACTCGAAAAGGAGTAACTTAGGCTACTTTTTTAGACTAGCTTCGCCCCGCGGCGTTGCCTGCGGTTATAACAACGAACGCGGGTAACACCGCGGGTCTCAGCTAGTATACAATACAACTAAGTAGTCTTACGACTTCATTACACACATTCAGATTACAGTTTCTTTTATTTTAAACCCCGGACGGTAAACGAGTGGTGTTATAAGGTTAACCTGTGTATCTGTCTATCTGTCTGATTTAGATATATGCCTATGTTTGTCTAAATATAAGAAATGCTTAACAGCTTTAATTTAACGTAAGCCTCAACGTTATTATTATGATTTTTTGTTTTATTTTGTATTTTAACAACTTTTTGTAACTTATTTAAAATTTTAAATGTATTTTTTGTTACTTTGAAGACTTTAAATTTTGTACATTGCTTGTGACTTTGTTCGCTTGGTTGATGTTATTATTACTTTTTCACTGTGCTTGCTGTGGTCTCCTGTTAGTAAAGGGGTACACTAACTTTTTACCACTCCTATCAATTATTGTTTTTTTATTGTGTATATCTTTCGTAAGAAATCCTAGAAATAAATAGCTCCCGAACGGATGGACCAATTTCGATTCGACTTTTTTTTGTTCGAAGGCCGATGTGATCGAGACGGTTCTTAGCTATAAATTTTGAAAATCATCAGCTCACTTCCTAGGTTTTAAAGGGATCTCACTAAAATTATTAGCATATGTACCATGTTTGGGCTTTATACCGTTTTTTTTTGTGTCGGAGGTTTATGCTACTGACGTATGCTAAAGTAAAAAAAATAGTTCAAAATTCTTCATTGACAGCCAAGAAAAAAAATGTCCTGTCTTAATTACATTATGGCGGTCTCCTTTGTGAGCCATGTTTCTGAGTTCCGAATATAAAAGAAAAAAAAACATTGATTTCGAGGTATGCGCGTGCCTTCACGTTCGGGAATAGGAAAGGCCGTGATTTTAAGACGAAACACGAGCCAGGCAGCCATTAAAATATTTGTTTTAAAACAATAAAAATAGTGCAGCTGTTGTTTCGTAGGACAAGAAGTGTGTTTTAGGAATAAAAACTTTTAAATGTTAAACATGAGGCTTTTTAAGGTTGTTAAAAATAATCTTGCTAGTATAATGCGAAAGTTTTGATAAATATTTGTTAGTTTATTAATTACACCAAAATGGCTAAACGGTTTTGGATGAAAAATAAAATAATGTCCTTATAAGTAAATGAGTTTTTATATTTAAACATAGACTTTTTAGGCATAATTGATTAACAAAATCAATATTAAAATGAGCGAAGCTGCGAATGAAAGTAATTGAACAGAAAATAATCTTTAGACCTTAAGTTAGCAATATAATCTTTATAGACAAGGCAACCATATGCAGGCACTGGTCCCATATGTTATGTAAACATGTGGGTTTTAAGCGAAAGTTGAAATATGATCTTAAACTTAAACTAACTTAGACGACCGGATGGCGTAGTGGTTTGTGTTACGTGGTGGGTTCCATTCCCGCTCAAGTCAAACATTTGTGTGCATGAACATTTAATGTTTGATTTGGTCTGGGTGTATCTATGCATAAATGTATAATGTATATGTAGTTACAAAGAAAAAGTATATATGTATTTATATCAGTCGTCTAGTACCCATAGTACAAGCTCTGCTTAGTTTGGGACTAGATGGCGTTGTGTGAATGTGGTAAAATATTATTATTATTAAACTCGACTCAAAATAAATAAATATAAGGGAGTGTTTAAGTTTCATTCAAGTAAAAAGATATGACAGTAACTTAAAATGATTTAAAGTGTAAACTAACTTCCCATTCAAGTTTATGAAAATAAACTTATACTGTAACTTAAGTGCTTATTTCTCGTTTACTTAAGTAGACTGTTTTTTTTTAATTAGGATAAACCTGAACGTACCACGACGTCATTGATTTGCTCTTGAGAGATATAAAAAATTACCAATATCTAAATTATATAATTTATCTGATATTCAAATATTGTGATGTTTGTAAAAACACGATTGCAAATTGTACTTCTCTTACGCGTTTATTGCAGTCTCATCGACCATATGTTTTATATACTTTTTTTCATACTACTAAAAACTTTTAGAATGCTACAGCGTCTTCAGGTTGTCACCCATCACAGAGGTGATTAAAAATACGAAAAAAATATTTAATCTCTTGTACTCCGGTGTTTTCTAACAATTAAAATTTAAAAAATAATTTCCTATAATTAAAATATAAAATACAGTCTTCACAAAATTAACGGTTGTTTCAAGAAACTATAAAACATTTGATTCTTAACTAACTACCGTATTACGAATCGGTTACAGTGATATTATTTAATGCATTCATATGGGTAACATGCGTATACGCATCTTCTTCAGAAATCAACTGTAACTCTATTCTCTATTATTCTCATGAATGAAACTGTCACCTTCTTCGTGATGAAGCAATGTCCGAATAAACAAACATTACATTTACTTCATTCATTAATAGAACCTAACAGTAAGACGTTACAGAGGCATAAATACATACAAAATGTCATACTTAATCAGTCATACTTTCAGTAAGTACAGTCAACAACAAAAGTCGATATAGAGACAATATATATGTTAAACCAAGTTAATGAGAAATAACATTTTTTTAAAATCCAACTGAAAACAGTAAAAGAGGCAAAATTATTTCACTTTACAGTCGAAGTTTTACTTATGACTCGAGGGAAACAAAGTCTGCAAAACTTACATTTTTTTTTAATTTTCCGAGGAAAAGTCGTGATTATATTAATTAATTCAATTTGGCTTAAATGTTAATTTCTTTGCCGACAAATTTACTTTTAAGAAATTCTTGTGCTGGCAGTATAAGTATTTTTGTTGCTGACTGTAGTACTGTATAGTGAAACGTTGTTGTATTAACCAATTATGACTGTTGCGTATCTGTCCCATGCGTGTGTAAATAGGAAAAAAAAACATCACACGAAATTTATTCAAAATCTGTGTTCACAACTGAGCGAGATAGACAGTCATTTCTGTTAAATATAAATAACGAGATAACGAAGGAGGAGTAGTTTTGGTAAGGAGTGTAAATTTATCAGTACTCGTAGACGTACGGCAGTATACGGCAATCGAAATACCAGGTCAGTGGTACTAAATACTTGTGATTTGAATGAACTATTGCTAGCGAAATTAAAACTAATAACGCAGAAAGAATGCTTTTGAAACAATAATAAATTGCATATTTATGAGTCTGTCCGTGTGGTGACGGATTAAGAATACGCGATGAAAGCCGTGGGCAAAGCGTATTGATAAAAGTTGATTTGTATTTACAAATACTGAATCCCCACGAAAATAGACCACAAATTATTTGACTTACTGCAAATATAATGAACAAAGAAGTCATAAGCAAAGATGTATTAAAAATACATCAAACTACCGTAAACAGGCAAGAAGTG